GACAGTAGGGATTACTAATTAACTTAATAAAAAAAATACATTTTCAGCATAGAAATTTGAATTACTTTTATCTATGTGTGAGGGAGAGGTGCTATGTACACAGTAATTAGTCTTCAGTTTACTTTTTATTCCTTGCTTGTTAAGACTGATGGAATTCCTGGCCGCTCCCCCAGCTACATGACCACACATGCACTGTCCAGTAGCCAAGCAAGAGGCTTAGTCATTCCAGGGCCTTACGTCCTACATAATCCATGCACTGCATGGTCACATAATTTGCACGCAGTGTGACCATGTAATCTATGTGCATGCTTGGCATAGCTACATAAGCCCATATGCGCATGTTCAGGGGGAACCTATAAAAAGTGAGTTCCATCTTATTCCTGCTCTCTCTCCCTGCACAACCACTTCCATAGGCCTAAGCATCCCCATCCCTTTCCTTCTCCTAATAAACTCTTATAGTGGATTTTGTTGTGCCTCATGGCTTTTCTCCAAAGATAACAGTGTTGCTTAATGAATAACATTGTGCAGCACAATAACTAAAAAAGACTAAAACTACATCTGGGGTAAGACTGGGCCTGTAAGCTGGTGAAAGGCATGTGTTGAACCCACAGACATGCATACACTTAAAACATTTTCTAGCTCAAGAAAGGTAAAAGTTTGTTTTGTTTTGCTTGTTTTTAGTTTGGGGAGACAAGTTCTCATTATATAGCCTTGATTGACCTGTAACTCACTATGTAGACCAGGCTGGCCTTGAACTCACAGAGATCCACCCACCTGCCTCTGTTTCATGAGTGCTAGGACAAAAGACATGAGCCACCACACCTGGATTAAACACATTCTTTAAGTCCCTTAACCATATAGTTCTATGCTGAAGAACTCATTCAAAGTAAATAAAAATCTAGAAAGTTACAAAAATAATGTTCCCTCATTTCTCAACACAATAAAGACTATGTAAACCTAGCCAGCATAACACTAAATGGGCAAAATAGAGCTCATTTCCTCTCAATCTGGAACTACAAGGGTGCTTATTTTCTCTACTCTTATTAAATGTAGTCCTTAAGTTTTGATGGAGCAATGCAATAAGAGAAAGCCATAAATGGGATAGAACTCAGAAAAGATGTTAAACTATCCCTGCTTGCAAACTATATCATTCTACACTTAAAGGACCCTAATGCCTAAAACACGCTGGATCCGATAACACCTTCAGTAAAGTAGCAGAATACAAAATCAGTAACTTTTATATATGCTCAAGAAAACAAACTTACTAAGAAGAAAAGTCAGGAAAGATAGACTATGCAGAGTAGCCTCAGAGCAAGCTACAGTAAGGACTGTCCTGACAGCACATGTCCACTGGTGCAACAGAGGTACAAACGTCATGGGAGCAACCAACCCCTTTCTGATTGGATTGAAATACCACTCCACAAGATGAAGCCCACACCTAGCACCATTATCAGGCCAAGCATAGACAGTTCATAGCCCCTGTGGAGAACCTACTACTATGATGCTGCTAAAATGACATGGTATTAAATTGTCTCATAATCATTTACTATTATATGCACAGATCAATGCATCTTTTAACCCTCGTCTGAGAAGCTTCTGTTTGTGGTAGATGGTGATTACACAGAGACCCACAACTGGTCAAGATGCAGATAATTAGAGACTGTAGACTGCTCAGCCCCCAAAGGAACGTGTGCACCACATCCTCACCCCTCCCAAGACGTAAGAGGAGGCGGAAAGTGTCTAAGAGGCAGAGGTGGTGGGTGATGGCAAATACCTCCTGGATGCAGAGAAGCAGCTGCACATAGGAACTCATGGAGGCTATGACAGCCTGTGTGACAAGGCCTATGTGACATGGCCTGTGCGACAAGGCCTGCCTGTGCAAGCCCAAGCCAAGACCAAATCCCAGCATGGGGAAGGGAGGGGAGCACACAATCCCACCACGAGCCATGGAACAACTGGTAATTGTTAGCTGCTAAGAGAGGAAGAGTCTGTTTTCTCTAAGGGTAAGAGGACCACTCTCCCGTGGAATCCCACACATCTAAGAATATTTGGTTAGCACAAATTTGCCTTGAAGGTTTAGGGTTTGGTGTTGTTGTTTTTTTTTTGGGGGGGGGGTTGGTAGGTTGGTTTTGTTTAAAAAGACACAAAGTTGGGTGGTGTACTGGCTAGTTTTATGTCAACTTGACACAAACTAGAGTCATCAGAGAGGAAGGGAGCCTCAATTGAGAGAATGCCTCCTCATAATCCAGGTGTAAGGCATTTTCTTACTTAGTGATTCATGGAGGAGGCCCCAGCCCATTGTGCGTAGGACCACCTCCTGGTTGATAGTCCTGGGTTCTACAAGAAAGCAGGCTGAGAAAGCCCTGAGGAGCAAGCCAGTATGTAGGATCCCTCCACAGCCTCTGAATCAGCTTCTGCCTCCAGATTCTGGCCCTGTTTGAGTTCCTGTCCAGACTTCTTTCGCTGATGAACAGTACTATGGATGTGTAAGCCAAATAAACCTTTTCTTCCCCAACTTGCTTTCGGTCATGGTGTTCCATAACAGCAATAGCAACCCTAACACAAGTGAGTGAGAGTGCAGAGCATAACTGAGAGAGTTAGGGGTCTAATGTGATCAAAACATACTGTATAAAACTTGAATCTATCAAATAACTAATAACATGTTTTTAAAGTAAGTTCTTACACAAAATATAAGAATAAACCTAACTGTTGGGCAGTAGTGGTGCATGCCTTTAATCCCAGCACTCAGAAGGCAGAGGCAGGAGGATGTCTCTGAGTTTGAGGCCAGCCTGGCCTACAGAGTGAGTTCTAGGACAGCCAGGACTATACAGAAAAACTCTTGTATCGAAAAAACAAAACTAAACTAAAAGAAACAAACAAAAAAGAATAGACCTAACCAGGCAGGTGAAGACTTCCACAATGAAATTTTCAGGACACTGAAACAAGAACACGAAGAAGGACTAGAAGCTGGAAAGCCTGTCTGGACTCCCGGGGTGACTGAACTTAGATTGGGAAGCTGTCAAAAAAAAAAAGATCTGTGCTACCAAAGGCAGCCTACAGATCAAAGCAATCCTCGTCAAAATGCCAGTAACGTTCTTCACAGACCTAGGGGGGAAATTCTAAAATTCCTGTGGGAACACAGAAGACAACAGATACCCAAAGAAACTCCTGGCCAAAGGAACACAGCTGGAGACGTCGACCTCAAACTATTCTACAGAGCCTCCGTGATAAAAACATCAGGATATCCGCATCAAAACAGACACGGGCACTAATGGAACACAGCAGAAGACTAGATGGGGAAACCAGTGTGAAAGCTTCTCAAAACACTAAAAATACGGCAGAATCCAAGGCATCGACCCAAAGGTATCCTACCGCAAAGATATCTACCATCCATGTTCATTGCTGCTCTAGGCAAAATAGCTAAAATAAAGTAAATCAACCCAGATGTACATCAACAGATGACCGACAATGAAAATGTACATACGTACAATGGAATATTAGTCAGCCCTAAAGAAAAGTGAAATTTGCAAGAAAATAGATGGAACTAGAAAACAAAATATTGAGGAAACCTAGACTCATAAAGACAAATACTGTATATTCCACCTTACACGTAGATCCTAGCCTCTGTTAAATACATGGATTTGGGTGAGAGTAAATATAAAGACAGAAAACAGAAAGGGGTCCCTGAGACAAGGGGGGAAAGAGGCTTTAGAAAACAGGGTGAGAAATGATAGAAGAAAGTTAAGGGAGGATACTGGAGGCCAAAGACACAAGGAAGGGAGAGCAGGGAGGTGAGGAGAGGGGAAGTCAGTCAAAATGAAGTAAGTCACACGTGGAAACCGCTACTTTGTAAGCTAATTTTTAAAAATAAACACTTCTTAAAAGAGAAATTTTAAATGATGAATAAAATATGACTCCTTGGAGTTAGTTTAACTTAAATATAGCTCTTGGGGGGGGTTGCTATGTGAATGCAGAAAAGACATACAATGGATGAAATGGCTGTGGATGGATGAAAAAAATAGCATAACATTCTATGGACACACACTAAAAACCCACAAGGAAAGAACAAAGATTTTAAAAATGGTGCTCCTTGCAGCATTAATTAAAAGGCAAAGCCCTCAAACCACTGAATGTGGTTATTAGAAAAGTCTAATGGGTGTCTATGCAGCCATTAAGCTGGGATTTGGAAGAGCACCTTTTACGTTACAATTACACATGGCTTGTTGGGTTATTTCTAAGAATTGCACACCAAAAAGACCATGCTCTCCCGTGAAGAATTCTGTGCCCTAGTCTACAATGACGAGCCGCCCCTACGTTTGTGCAGCAGAGCTGGCACTGCATACTTTAAGTTGTAGGAATACTTTTCCCTCTTCGCTTTTTCCTGCTGTGACTGGGGCCTCGCATTTCTCTTTTCTGACAGCTCCTCTTGGAGGCCACTAAGTTTATAGTCCACGTTTTTGTTTTTTCCTGTAACTAGATCACGGTGGTGTTCCAGTTCCGTCACTCCTTCATTTGAGTCAGCTACAACCTCCATTTCCAAAAGGCTTCCAGATCTACATTAAAAAGAAAACATATTTCTAAAGTCACATGCATGTAGTGGAGAGTCCATTTTCATATCTACTAAGTCATAACTGAGCCAGCATACACCAAGTTCCTAAGTCCAGCAGATAAAGCCCTGGCATGTTTTAGGGGTCGCCAGGAGTGTTCCTTTACTTAAAGCCATTTTGCTTAAGGATGTGGTTTGACAGGTGTCTTTGAGAGTCTGTAGGGCTTTATTTTATTTTATTTTTTATTTTGATTCAGGTCTTACCAGTTCATACTCACTGTTCCCAATGCAAGATATCAAAATGCTACAACTGAAAAGTAATGTTTAAAATCTTTCTTCCTACACTCAAAATAGGAAGTAGGGCTTTTCCCCCTTCTTTCTGGGACTAAATTTCACATATCCTAACATAGATGCTTGAGAAGTAAAACATAAAGATGGCTATGTTAGAAGTTTACAGTGTGATATTTGGATGACAAGATAAAGCAGAGTGTGGGCTTAAGCCAAGACCTTTCTCCAGTTCTTCCTCAGAGGGACCTACAGCCTTTTACAAGGGCAACTGTACAATGGGGGTGTGTGTGAAACAATAAGACTTTTGGGGGCCTATTGGATACTGGTTCTGAACTGACACTGATTCCAGGAGACTCCAAAACACACTGTGGCCCTCCAGTTAAAGTAGGGGCTTACAGAGGTCAGGTGATTAATGGAGTTTGGGCTGAAGTCCAACTCACAGTAGATCCAGTAGGTCCCCGAACTTATCCTGTGGTTATTTCCCCAGTTCCAGAATGTATAATTGAGATAGATACACTTAGAAGTTGGCAGAATTCTCATACTGGTTCCCTGATCTGTGGAGTGGGGGCTATAATGTTTGGAAAGGCTAAACGGAAGGCTTTAGGGTAGTCTTCTACCTCAGTGAAATTCTTAGGAGTCCAGTGGTATGGGGCAGGCAAAGATACTTCTTCTAAGGTGAAGGGTAGGTTATTGAACCTGGCCCCACACACCGCCAAGAAAAAAGCACAATGTTTAGTGGAAACTTAAAGTTTGACAACAGGCCACCAAGCACTGGGCAACCTGAGCTGCCCATCATGAGCTGGGTGTTATCTGACTCACCAAGTCATTAAGTAGGACATTCACAGCAGCAACCTATTAACTAATGGAAGTGGCATATGGGTGATAAGGCCTGCCCCGGTCCTGAAGGCACAGGCAAGTCACATGAAGAAGTTGCCCAAATGCCTGTGGTTTCCACTATTACAATATTGTCTTCTGCCAAGCATGTACCTGCAGCTTCATGAGGTGTGCCCTATTATCTGTTGACGGAGGAAGAGACAAGGGCCTGTTTTAGTGGTGTTTCTGCACATTGCACAGGTACTGCCCAGAGGGGGTCAGCCACAGCATTAACAACTCTCTAGGAGAACCCTAGAAGACACTGTCGACGGGAATCTTCACAGCGGGCAACTTTAAATAGAACACATGGTCACACGTTTTGTATGGAAGGAGAAATGGCCAGCTGTGCAATTGATCATTGGTCATGGGCTATAGCCAATGAGCTGGCTAGATGATCAGGGACTTGGGAAAAGCATGATTGGAAAGTTATTGAGAAAGACATCTGGGGAAGAACTATGTGGATAGATCACTCCAAATGGGCAAAGGAATTGGAGATACTTGTGTCCCATGTAAGTGCTCACTAAAAAGTGACTTCACTGAGGGAGGAGTTCAGTAATCAAGTAGAGAAGATGACCCATTCTGTGGACAGTCAGCCTCTTTCCCCAGCCATCCCTGTCACTGCCCCATGAACCAAGGATCAAAACAACCATGGTGGCAGAGATGAAAGTTATACATGGGCTCAACAACACGGACCGCCACTCACCGAGGCTGACCTGGCTATAGCTGCTTCTGAGTCCCAGGTCTGCCAACAGCAGAGCCCAACACTAAGCCTATATGGCATCATTCCCCAGGGTGACCAGCCAGGGACCTGGTGGCAGATTGACTACCCTGGACTACTTCCTCCATGTAAAAAAACACTCTGTCCTTACTGGAGTAGAACTTATCCTGGTTATGAATTTGTCTTTTCTACATGTAATGCTTTTGCCAAAACTACCATGTGTGGACATTCAGAATGCCTTATCCACTGTCGTGGTATTCCACACAGTATTGCTTCTGACAAAGGATCTCACTTCACTGCCAGGGAAGTGAAACAGTGGACCCAGGATTGTGGAACCCTCTGGTCGTACCATGTTCCCTATCATGCTGAAGCAGCTGACCTGATTGAAAGATGGAATGGAGAAAACTAGGTGCTACAGGTCCGAGATGAAGGGATACTTTTAACTCTGTTCAGTTCCTATTCAGCAGGGCAGGGTGGGGGTGGTAGTGGGAAAGACTCACATTTAAGGAAGTCAAGTTGTGGGGATACAGCACGTAGTATCCAAGAATGTGGATGCTTCCTCCAGATTCCGAAGAGACTTGATTCTCTTCTATTGATGATGTCAGGAACCCAGACACCAATGGAAGACACTCCTGTTCAGACTGGGTCACTAAGAGAGTGGGACATGAGTTAAAGGAAACACAGCAAAGCAGCTGTGGTTGCTTCTCACTAAATGACCATTTCTTCTACAGAAGATGAAAGGTTTATATTTCAGTTGTGTGAATGCTCAGTAGAGAATCGTATTTGCACATAGGAGGATAATCCTGTGACCCCAGTATACACGCACGATTTCAAACTAGAGTTCCTTCTGTTTCTATTTTAGTTAGCACGTGCTACCACTTTCATGTTAGGTAAAGTATATAAGAAATAAAAATACAATAGACCATCAAAAATTCCAATACACATCTTTATCGATTAATTTGAGCAAAATGAAAGCCACTAAATCACTTGCATTGTTAAGGAACAATGCTGAAGAGAACTACATAATTTTGTTTACAAGAAGCATAACTCCTCCAGTGAAAACCACAATTAACCCAATTAGGCTTCCAGGTATTCTAGTGGGAATATGACTAGTTAATAGTACTAAAGGAAATGCTTTTAAAAATCCCACCTCTTAGCTGGGCATGGTGGTGCACACCTTTAATCCCAGCACTCAGGGAGGCAGAGGCAGACAGATCTCCGTGAGTTTGAGACCAGCCTGGTCTACAAAGCAAGTTCCAGGAGAGCCAGAACTGTTACACACAGAGAGAAACCCTGTCTCAGAAACCTCCCCACCACCACCCCCCCAAAAAAAATCCCAACTCTTAGCATTCAGAAACATCTAACAGAATGAATTAAAATACATATTATAGATTAAATATATAATTATCATGAATTAATATACTTTTGGAAAACCTAAAATATATTCTGCATTGCATAGGTAAAGTACATGACCATAGGTAACATGAAAACACAGAGGGGAGGGGCCTCATTACTGTGTGTGGTGCCCCCTGCAAAGGCACAAAGGGTCTTATGAACACAAAGGAGAGCTGATTAGATTCTTTTAGTACCCTCAAGTCCAGGCTTCTGCAGAAATCCCCCGTGTCTTAAATGGGGCCTCTCATCATGAAGGAAACTCAACACACCTGTGTGCCATGTCCATGCTACAACTATTGGGTTCTACTCTTCGCTGTGGGCATCTTTTCAAATGATAGGTACATGGCAACTATTTGCATGTGAAACCATTTCTTTCCTTAACATCGTGCTTCACCAAAAAATTAGCCCCAGTATGGAACAGAAAGGGTCACAATGCCTCCTTCACCTACTTCCCTAGGGCTTAGCTACAGTTCACTCATATTGAATTGTCCCAGGCTGTTAAGTAAATGAACAATTAGTGGAGACTAATTGTTGAAACTAAGTTTGTAAAATGATTTCTCTTTATATTCTCACTAAAAGTACTGTCCCCAGTGCTTACAGATGCCAGGCTGATGGCACCATAGTCTCCCAATGTGACAGACACAACTTCAACTGAATAAGCCTTCAGAATCTGGTACTCCTCTTCTCTTGGAGAAAAGCTTGCTTTCTGGGATGTGTATTCTTGGTTGTCAACTTGACTATATCTGGAGTAAACTAAAGCCCAAAAATGAAGGGCAAACCTGGGAGGGATTTTTCCTCCAATCAAGTAGGAAGATCTACTTCTAATTCAGACTTTTGAGGTAGAAAAAAGACATGTTTTTAATCCAAATCATTTGAGCTAGGCAAAGACATGCCTTTAATCTGGATCTTGAGGTAGGAAGACATATCTTGAATCCAGATAATTTGTTTTGGTTTTTTTTGGTTTTTTGTTTGTTTGTTTGTTTGTTTGTTTTGTTTTTTTGTTTTTGAGACAGGGTTTCTCTGTGTAGCTTTGTGCCTTTCCTGGAATTCACTTGGTAGCCCAGCCTGGCCTCGAACTCACAGAGATCTGCCTGGCTCGGCCTCCCAAGTGCTGGGATTAAAGGCGTGTGCCACCACCGCCCGGTGAATCCAGATAATTTAACTAGGAAAACCCACCTGTAACCTGGGCCACACCTTCTGTTGTAAGTCTACATAAGGACATGGAAGAAGGAAGGTGTGCACTTTGCCTGCTTGCTCTCACCTTGCTAGCAAGAACATTCCTTTACCGGTATTAGAGCCTGCTTCTTCGGGATTCCAGCCTACACCGAAGACCAGCTGAGGCATCCAGCCTTGTAGATGGAGCAACTCCTGGATTCTATAAGTTCTTTTACTCTGGAAAACCCTGACTACTACACTTGCCTTTCATGTTGGTTGGCTGGGGACATGAATGACAACAAGAATATGGAAATCTTTAAGAGGCAGCCTGTACTTACTAAAAGAAAGCCATTTTCTAAAGACAATCTAAGTGAAATGGCTAATTGACAATTGTAAACAAATGTGATGTTATTTTGTGAGCCATCAATTATGGCCAGTAGTGTTTCTTTTAACTTGCCAACCAATGGAAGCTGAGAAAGAAGAACGTTAGGCAAATATTATTGAAAAGAAACGATTGCATAGTATATAATCATACTCCAATGCTGGTAGAATTCTTCCAAGTTTTTGAGATCTTGGGGTTCACATGTTACACTTTTTCTTATTAGGAGTCATCAGAATCTTGAGGAAACACCTAAATATCCATGTCCCAGACATATAGAGTCTTTTGAATCAGACTCTTATGGGGAAACCTGGATTTGTAATGGTTCAAAATTCTCCCCAGGTCACTGTAATGGACAGTCTAATTGAAAAACAAATATGCATTTCCTCAGTCTTGTCTCTCACCCACACAACTTAGTCCTCTTATCATCTGGGGATATGGCCAGATGGAGAGATCAGACACCCCTGCTTCTAAAAACACTAATTCCCTGATTAGGGCAGAACAGGGGCAGAAAATTCAAAATACAACTTGATCCCATCATATGAAAATCTGTACCAAAACTGTAGAGTTGAGAGCAGAATTTGAGCCCTTACCTAAAGACTTGTTTCTGGAAGAAAAAAAGACAGGTCAGTGTGCTTCTGATCCTCGCTCTGGTCTCCACACAGTCATACCTGTGCTGCTTGCTCAGAGGCCACTGGGAATCATCTTAGACATGTTCAGTAATGAGGATTGGTAGCCCCAATTCTCCTGATGCACAGAATTTAGAATATTCAGTTAACATTGCATAGGGATAATGTCCTTAGATAGCTCCGTTTGTAAATTGGCCTTCAAACTTGGGGTCCCTGCTCTTCTCTCTTCTTTTCCTCCTTTTCCTCCTCCTCTTATATCTTCTTTTTTGCTGTAGCCTCACCTCTAGATATAAATCACTTTGATAATTTTTCAACAGCATCAAGATTTCCATTTATTGTAAAGTACAAATACGTTTGTTTTCTTTATGATGAAGCCTGTTTCCAGGTCCAATTTTGTTTCCCTGTTTTAAAAATCTTAGTTGAAGAAAGGTTTTGGAAACCATGAGTTTTACTTTTAACAGATTCAGGGTTTTCTCAAATATTTACCATGGGTGCATGGAAGAGAAGGTTATATCTTCTACCACTTCTTCAAGATATCAAAATATAGAGAAACTTGGACAAGTTACCTCAAAATATTTTTATTCAAGATGCTTGAGCTGCTGCAGGGTCAAATGCACCCACTTACATCACTGTTGATACGAACGCACTCCAGGTGTTTCGGAAATAAATTTGTGTCATCTGTACTTTGTTCTTCTCTCTGTGTCTGCACAGTGTGAGGGGAGCATGGCCACCACTGAGGTGTTTTCAGTGGACGTGGCACAGTGGGCCGCAGTGGTACTTTGCCTGCCCACCATGTTTTCATCAGCACCCTTTTCAGCAAGGATTGTCCCACACTCCTGTGGTTTCTGGGGGCCTGGGGCCCTGGGCTAATTTCTAACACAGATGAATAAACAGAGCCTTAAATTTCCTTAGTGATATAAAAGAATTTTTTGTAAAATGAAGACATGTTTTTCGCCTGAGACAAACATGTTGTGGATATCCTGAGAGTTGGCTTTCTTCTGTCAGCCTATTTTCTGCTTCATTTCAATAAACTGGCCTCCACAATGATTGCATTTAGCCCGGTGGTGGTGTTCACGGCAGAATATGTGCTTAGCTGGCACCAGGCCCTGGGTTCAACCCCCAACACCTAAATAACAATAATAACAACAACCAAAACTATCTAGAAGTTCTTTTGAGGCAGCCCAAATTCGACCTACAATTTGTCCAGCCTGCAAGATGTGTTGGGGTAAAGATGGCACAGACATTGTGGGGGTGGCCTAGCAATGACTGGTCCAGCTGGAGACCCCATACCACGAGAGAGAGCTCACCCCTGACACTGCCTGGAGGGCCAGGACCTAGAGGCAGGATGACCCGGAGACCTAGGATAGAACCAAACAAGACTTGTTTAAAAAAATCAATGAAATGTTTGCTATTGACACTCTGCTATTCTCATAGATCAGTGCCTAGCCCAATTGTCATCAGAGAGGTATCATCCAGCAACTGATGAGGGCAAATGCAGAGACCCATAGCCAAACATTAGGTGGAGCTCAGGGAATCCTGTGAAAGAGGGGGAGGAAGGATCATAGGAGCCAGAGGGGTCAAGGACACCACGAGAAAACCCACAGAATCAACTAACCAGAGCCCATAGGAGCTCACAGAGATGGAAGTGACGACCAGAGAGCTTGCATAGGACAGACCTAGGCCCTCTGCACATGTTACAATTGTGTGGCTTGGTTGTCTTGTGGAATTCCTAGCAGTAAGAGCAGGGCTGTCTCTGACTCTGTTACCATGCCTCCTCATACTAGACCGCCTCGTCCAGCTCTAACAGAAGAGGAGGTGCCTAGTCTCACTGCAACTTGATATGCATGGCTGGCTGATATCCATGGGAGGTCTGCCCTTTTCTAAAGAGATACAGAGGAGGAGGAGTGGATGGGAAGGGGGCTGGGAGAAGAGGAGGGAAGGGAAACTGCAGTCAGAATTTAAAAACAAAAATAAATAAATATAGATAGATAGATAGATAGATGATAGATAGATAGATAGATAGATAGATAGATAGATAGATAGATAGAATACAAAAAAAGAAATTCAGTAAATAACTGTTAATTCATCTACATTATAATCACTTTTAAGAGCTTTATACATGAATGTATTTGCTTACTTTATCTGTCAAAGCAGATTGTTAGGTTGAAACTCTCAACATCCTTCTTTCAGTTTTGATTTTGTTTGGATTTATTTATTTCACTGTGGTAGAATATCTAAACAAAATAAATAATGTTACCACAGTTTTTAAAAATCTACAAGTTCTTTTAAGGTCACTCTTAGAAAATTATTTGAAAATTAAAACTATATGATTAAGAATTTGATTTTTTTCTGGGCCTGGAGTGATGGCTCAGAAGCTTAAAGCTCTTACAGAGGATGTTAATTCAGTCCTCAGAGCTCACACTAGGCAGCTTACAACCAACTGTAACTCTAGCTCCTTAGGACCCCACACCCTCTCTGGCCTCCACAGGCGCCTGCATACACGTGGCACACACAGAGAAAGACATGCACATAGATCAAAAATAAGTCATTTTCAAAAGAATTTGTTTTTTTTCTTCTGGTACATTTCTCACTTTTATATTATTAAAAATTCCATCCAGCACTGATTTTGTGATGTAAAAGTGTAAAGGTAACTTTTCTAGGAAGAATTAAAAAGGCATTTCTTTCTTGAATAATTCTTTTTTTTTCCCTACTGAAAAGGAAATGTTCTCAGCCTTGAGTTATAAACTCTTACGTGTATTTGGATTTTCTAGTCTGTCTCACATGGTTGTCTGTCTGTGAGTAAGCAGTTAACCTGTGATGATGAAAGGCATATTCTGATACCTTTAGGAGCAAGTGTGTGCTCATTACAAGTGTTTTCTCCCTGACATTTCACAGAAGAATTAGGAAGGGGCTACTGTAAAAAGCCACTTTCATTTATGTCAAATCAGACAGTATAGGAGAAGCTGAGTTCAGAAAACAGGGAGTCTCCTCATTCAAAAACATGGAGCCAAGGCTAAGAGAAAGTTGGCCAAGAGCAGATGGTCAATGTCAACGGTCTAAACCCAACTGTGGCTCGTCTCCCTACAGTCCTCTGGTGGCATGAACTTGCAATACTCTCTGGTGCAAATTCAACAAAAACACATGAATGAAGAGCAACAGAAAGTGGTATGGCAACCACAGGAATCTCCATTTTCCTGAGGCTTTGAGAGAGATTAGTGACAATAGCTTGCCTGAGGTTGAGAAAAGAATGGAAACCACAAGGTGTTTGGAGCTTGGTAAATGGGAGCCATGGCTTCTCTTCTCTATTGGATGTTACTGGAATTTAAGGAGGCTCCGGGTCTTGTGAAAAAATCACATATGACCAAGAGAGTTGATGGGTCAAGTACTTTCTGAGTAAACCCACAGAAGCAGACAAAATAATGGGTGAAGAGGCATGTGAGAAAGACAGAAACAGACTGAACAGCAAAAAGGGACCCCTGCATAAAATACTGTGAAAAAAGGAGGAGAAAAATAGAAAACTCCCAGCCAGCTGCCACTCCACTCCGCTGTTTCCTGAAAGGACCTCAGGAAAGAATACAGCCTGGGTCAGGGTCAGTGAGATGGCTCCATGAGTAAGGTATTCCCACCAAGCCCCACAAGCTCATGGAGACCTATATGGTAGGAGAGACCTGGATCCTTTAAATTGTCCTCTGACTTCCACACAAGCACTATGGCACAAGCACACCTACAAGAAACAAACTAAAATGTCATTTTGAGTTATTTTTAAATTATATATGTCTGCGCATGTGTACTTGCTAATGCTGGTCCCCTCAAAGCCAGAAAAGCCACAGGATCTGCAGCCAGCATTATATATGTGGTTGTGCGCCACCCACATCAGGGTGCTTAGAGCAACCTGAGGTCCTCTGAAGGAACGGAGAGTGCTCCTAACCACTGGGAAATTTTCTTGAGCCCCTGTAATCACTTTTACATGGTAAACACATCCTCAGAAGGAAGCTGAAACCGTTGAAGCTCTGGTACACAGTATTTGGATGGGCTCCCCGCCCTCCTGTGGAGGTCCCAGATGCCCAAGAACCATCATCCTGGATGAAGGCAGAGCCACCAATCTCTGGGCTCTCTTGACCTAAAGCCACCATGGAAGGCAGCCATTCTCCCTCATTGCACACTCAATTCGCAGGTCTCCTGGCCTGTTGTGCTTGTTATCACTAACACAAATTCTCCAGCATGCAAATTGGCCCTGAACTCTGGTGACATAATGCTGGCCGCCTTAGAGCTTTCTGAAGACTCTGTATCCTTTGAGAGTCTGGACCAGTCTGAGCAGTAAGGATGCTGCTCCCCTGCTTCCCAGTAGGGTCACTGTGGGAAGCCAAGGAGCCTCAGATCTGCTTCAAACTGGAGGCCTCGAGCCACATGGCCCCTCCCCTCTCCGTACCCAACATAAGCCTTAGAATAAGCCCTGCCCCAAGTGCCGGACTTATTTAGTTTAGGGTAAACACCAGACACCGCGCAACCAAGTCCCACAGGATTGCTCTCTTGTGCGGGGTCTGAAAGCCACAACACGGATAGCCGCACGGGTTTGCAGATATACCTCCGCTCACGTGATCAGGACCGTTATCCGACAGCGCTTGCTGTACACGTGAAACATCCCACCAGCCACATGAGCTCACGGGGAAGCCTGGAACCTCTTACAGTGTCAGATCCCGGTGGCAGTTGAACACAGATCATGTACTTTGTTCAAAGCAGACTCACACCACAACAGGAAGCAGATTTTGGACAGCACGGGGCTTGACCTAGAGGGGACCTCAGGGCACTGAAGCCCCAAATATATCTCTCCTGATGCCCTAAAGCTTCCTCTAGCTGGTGCCCCTTCCACCCTAGGGGTGCAGCAGCTGGAGCACGTCTTGCTGACTGGAGCTGCAGTAACAAAAACTGTTGTCACAAGCTCTAGAGACTAAGCTCAGCCTCCCAGGACACTGGCAAAAACGCTGTGCCTGCCTCCTGGCCTCCCCTCTCCTCAGCCTGAATACATGTTCTCGTGACTTTTATTTTCTGCTATTCGATTTGGACAATGATGTAAGATAATTTTCTAAGCATCCATTTGCCCAGGCAATCCGTTTCCTGTGTGAAAATGTTGCTTTGAGAGGCCAAATGGCAGCATCGGAGCCTGAGCACGGTCCAGGCAAGGACGCCTCCCCTTGCCTCCTCGTCACCCTGCCCCCCTCCTTTCACGGACGATATCTCTGAAGCAGTCTCCAGCCCAAGCTCCCACAACCTCAAATCTCGGGACTCCAGGAAACAGCGTCATCATGCCCCGCCCTCTACAGCCCATGCTGACGTCACTCTGGGTCTCCATCATCCCCCATCTCTGCTCCTAAGATCCACCCCCTGACGGATGGAGCCTCCCACCTCCCGAGTGGCACCTATGGAAGTCAGCTCCCTGGGCATCTATCTGAGTGAGAGGGTGTCCACGTGCAGCTTGCCACTCCCCAGACTCACGAGGAACCACAGGGGACCACACAGTGGTGACAACACCCTAAAGAACTAGCCATGGGAAGGAGGAGGCCAACCTGGTATGGCTGCATGTCAGACCCCCAGGAGCACCACCTGCCAGTCAGACAAGGGCTACATATCTTGCTCTTCTCCCTTGATGCCTCCAGATGGGCAGTCTCTGGCTTGTAAGGCAGATCTTCAGGCTACCACATTCGTCTTCTGAATCCCAGCCTGTCATCCCTGTCATTTGGAGAGATTAAGAACAAAGGGGGTGGGCTCACCTCAACGACACTGCTGAAGAACTTTAGCTGCAGAAGTGGAGAGTATGATCTTGAATTGTGACTCCCGTGAACAGTCAGTTCTGGAGAGACAGCTCGGCAGTGAAGACCACTGACTGCTCTGCTAGAGGATCAGGGTTTAATTTCCAGCATGCACATGGCAGCTCACAAGCATCTATACCTCCAGGTCCAGGGGCCCTGATACCATTTCTGGCCTCTGTGGACACCAGGCTCTCACACAATGCACAGACATGCATGCAGACACTCATACACATAAATGAAAACAAATAAATCTGTCTTTGAGAAAAACAAGAAGTCTGTTGTCCTGGGAGTTTACACGCTGCAAAAGCCACAGAAATAAGAACAATGTCTTATTGCAAAGGGCACAAAATATGATGTATTGTAACATAATTCAGAAACAAATTTATTGCCAAAAGTTAAGGCTTTATTAGTTAAATAGACCAAAGGTGAATAGCGCATCCATATAACAGATGCAAAATTTGTAAAGAAACATGGAAAACATCTTCAACAATTAAAAGTATAAACTGAGACAACAAAATAGTATCACCATTTGGACAGCTACATGGCACTTGAGCAAAATGGCTATGACAAGCTTAACTAGGAAAAAAAGAACCCTGACTGTGTGTGTGTCATGTTTATAGCTAAATATGGGAACATGATTTGGAAAAAAACACAAATGTTAGGTGTGATTTGGTCTGCTAGAATTAAATTTCAGCTTCATATTCTGGTTCTCTCTTGCTTTAACTTGGTACTGACCAAGCTTCTAGGGAGGGGGAGGTACAAAGGTTGATGCTCATCCAAGAACCTGCTCTCTGATTCCACATTCTACAACCCAACACCCATATTCAACCAGAGATTAACACTAAAGAGCCAGGAACATACATTAAAAACCAATGTATGAACTGAATTCAATCAAATTTCAACTAAATGTATGAGCATAATGTTGATGATGATAATGTCAGTGATTATGATGATGCTATTACACGTAGTATTCTTCACCGTAATCATGGTAGCGTGAGTTAGATTCAGTTACAGCCAGGTTCCTCCCAGACTGAGATGACAATTCCCTAACACTTATTGGTTGAGATGATTCTAATCTGTCCACTCATACAGCTTGTACCATTATCTAGCTGTGGGCAATTGTCCCCATAGTCTCAGGCATTGAATGCCTGGTCTTCAGGTGGTGATGCTGTCTGAGGAGTTTCGAGCTGTACAGCCTTGCTGGAGGAAGGGAGTCACTGGAGAGGACTTTGGGGTTTGCAGTTTGCTCTCTCGGCTTCCTGTTCCTGCTGCCATGCCTCAGCTACACCAGGATGGATTCAACTCCCTCTGGAAACTAAACCCAGGTAGACTCTTCCTTCTGTAAGTTGCCTTGGTCCTGATGTTTTATCACACCAACAGAAAAGTATGAAATACAATGAACTCTGCTTGGTGTGAATGTATCATTTACATATCAATTCTGTTACGGTTCTTTCCTAACTACCTTACTGGTACAATAAATCCCTGTGTAATGTGCTAAATCCATTATAAGCACAACCACAGTGTCAAAATCGCAGGGGAAGCTCTTACTGTAGAGAGGTCCTCCACATGACTCACCATGTGCCTTTACCATTTCAAGTTACTAAATGAAAATATAGAATTGTAAATGTCAGTGTCTCTAGCCTGTGAATCTACCACAGATAAGTCCTAAAAGTAGGAAGTGACAGACACATGTCTGAAAACTAGATTTCTTCTTGAGATGATGGGGATTAATGGCAGGGTCTCGCACATACTAGGCAAGGGCTGCAACACAGGTCCTCTTTCTGAAAGAGGGTAGGCAGCCCTGTGCCAGGCTGCTGCTCAAGAACAGCAAGGATGCCCCCTCAGTCATTCAGAGCCAAGTCTCCAAGGTTCCTTCCCTTTCCAGCTGTTAAACAGGCTCTTTGTTCTATTTTGCTGCTTTGATCCTAAGTGTTTGGGAAGGAGAAACCACAGGGGTCAGGTTTAACTACAAGAATTCCACATTGAATGTTTAGAGTGATGCATGTAAGTGTGATAATACGTACTGTAGATTTTCGTGGATTTAGAAAACACCAGGAGATTGGTGAGGTGCAACTGAGTTTGTGTCCTGTGGGGGCCTTTATGAGGAGGATTCGCTGATGAGGGAACTCCCACACTGGATGTGCACAGCATTCTCCCATCGGTGTGAGGTCTGCACAGAATCACAGAACAAAGGCAGCTGAGCACCCCGATTTTCTTCTGCTTCCTGACCAAGTGTGGTGTGAACCACTCAGCTGCACCTTGCCTTCCTTGTCATGATGGACCGAGGCCTCTGAAGCTGACAGACAGCTCGGTTTTCCTCCCTGTGCTGCTGGAAAGTTCTTAGTCACAGCAATGATGTCACCACAACAATGTCAGCCATTTGGAGAGATTATTGAGCCTTTCAATCCATGAACAGAGTAATACAGGATCTCTTTACTAGAGATTACATCATCCAAAGTTTATCTTGGAAATGTCTGGTTTTTACTGTGTACATTTAAAACATAATCTTTTGTATTATTTTACTGATAACAATTAATTTTGTGATATTTTCATTTTCAATTAAAGCAATACTGACAATTTGGGGAAAGTGTTGAGCCTTTCAATCCATGAACAGGGTAATAAAGTATCTCTTTCCTATACGTTAGATAGTGCTAAGTATTTTGGAAATGTTCTGGTTTTTACTGTGTACATTTTAAATAAAAATTTTTGTACTATTTTACTGATATCAATTTTGTGATGTTTTCATTTTCACCTCTTTCATTGATAAAGATTGAAGATTCAGTTTTTATCCATAATTCATTTAAGATTTGGAAGTCCCTTATTAGCTCTAATGAGATCTCATGGAGGCTCACTGTTTTCCATATAAGCAGTCTCTGACCTGTAAGAGCAGTTTCTGTTCTGTTTGTGTATGGACACCCACAGATCTTCACCATCTTGCATTTCCCGAACTGTCATGTCACAGCCAGCCCACTGCCCCTGCTGAGGCCATTTCACCAGGAAGCCTGACTCTAAACCACACAGGATGGGGATCTCTCAGCTGACTTTCTGCACAACTAGATACCCCCACCACGTCTCACCCTACACATACCTTACTGAAGCTCAGCTCAAGCTCAAGCTATGATGTGGACTCCCTGATGTCTGGATGCTTGTGTTAGATAATTGAGACTTGTGGAATATTTTTTCCCATGAAAATATCAT